GTGAAGGCGGCCGCGGGATGTTGGGGGCAGGGGGGGGGGGGCAGGATGGGAGACCAGAGGCTGGGCTCAGAGAGTACAAGCAAGAAGCGTGCGGGCACGGCGCGCCAAGCAGGGGCGGGATGGAGCACGCAAATGACGGTGCCTGCGGGGCTCCTGCCGGCCCGGGCTTGGGGGCAGGGCAAGGTGGGGGAGTTGGCAAAAGGGGGCGCAGCGGCGGGGGCTCACGCTTTGAGCGTCCCCTGTCTGAAGGGGTAGGCCTGGGCGGGCGACGAGAAGACTGGCATGAAGTGGGTCGCGATGATGGCATCTATGAAGTCTTTCTGGGACCTGCGGGGTCGTGCGAACGCAAACGCTGATGGGTGCGCACTGGGCCTGCCCGCGGCACACGTGGCTGCGCGCCGCAGCGCAAGCGCAATCGAAGGCCTCGAATGGCGCCGAGGCTCGCGCTGCGCTGGTGTCCAGGGAGACCAGCGACTCCGGTTGGGGGGCAGCGCCAAGGCCGCGGCTGCGCCGCACGAGGCCGGCGCGCGCCGCGAGCCCCCGGCCGGCACAACGGCGGCCCTGCCACAACCCCCTGCGTCCGATCGCGTCGCTTCGTCCGCTGGGTCCCCGCTGCCCCCACCCCCGCCTCCTCGTCTTCCATGGCACAGCCTCCCAGATCTCACACGGCCCCAAACCCCAGATCTCATATCTCTCGGATCTCCCAGGCGCACGTGAAATCGGTGACGTCGAAGTAGCGCAGGCCGCCAGCCATGGGGTCCATGCTGGCGGACTTTGCGCCCTGCGCCGCGAGCCCCACGTAGCAGACGTCGCGGCAGCGCTTCCACGCATCGGGCGGGATGATCCACTGCTTCATGGCCGCGCGCAGGGCGTCCTCCATGGTGCCCCTGGGGTTACAGTACAGGATACCGCGTGCGAGTGATAAGGCTGGCAGTTGGGCGGTCGGCAAGCTATTGATAAACAATTAGGTGGGCTGGAGAAGCGGGCCGTACGGCGCGATGCGGGGTCTTGAGGCGCAGCGCTCGACGGCGGCTCAGCCCCTGCGACGCCAGTGCGGCCGGCCGCATGGGCGCAAGCCGATCGGCGG